ATACGCATGTACACATGCCCGGTCGCCCCGCGACAAAAGAGCACTTGCAGCATGTCCTGTTGCTCTGCGATGTGTTTTCCATGCCAGTTTTTCAAAACGATCACGAGATGTTAGGAGCAAGACGCAAGGTAGTGGACCGAACGAGAGTGAAGAGGTGGGGAGTAGAGGCTGAACGCGTCCAGCGTAATATGAATGGATGAGACTGATGAGAGCGAGTGAAGAACCAAGCCAAAAGTTTTCACGGTCAGAAAGAGAGAAAAGCAGAGTGCTTGCCCATGCCACCAATTTCTTTTCTTTTCCCTCTCATATCAGACACTTCGTTCCCGAAGATTCTTTTCGTTTAATCACTGCACTATGTGAGATTAACCGGACTTTCCTCTTTGCGAGTACTCCGCCAACAAGTTTCCTCTTTGAGATTAACCGTTTTCCCAAGAAGGGACAAGAAGAACAAGGAAGGTGGTAAACCAGTAGGCGAGGAGAGACCCCACAGGAAGAAGAGGGCAGCCAATTGTCAGACTCTTCCAATCACGTTACTTGACAGTAGGAGGGAAAGGGCAGATGACAGAGGACAAGGAGGAGGAAGACGAGGAGGAGAAGGAGGAGAAGGAGGAGGAGGAGGACTAAAAGAACGAGGCGGAGGAGGCGAGCGAGGAGGACGAGGACGAGGACTACCACGTTCCCCCGAACAAAACGCACCCTGATAACGAATGTACACAAGCTATATTTCCGGGCCGGTACAGGCATAATCAGGGTGCGAAGTGTTCGTGGGAAGACGGTAGAAGAACGCGGAGGAGGGGAGGAGAGGGAGGAGGGCGAGGACCACCGTCCTGCCTCGAACACAACGCACCCTCACTTTGGCTGTACCTGACAAGAAATATGGCTTGTCTACATTCATTATCGGGGTGCGTTATGTTCGGGGGAAGACGGTAGGAGAAGGACTAGAAGAAAGAGGTAGAGGAGGAGGAGGAGAGGGAGGATGACGACGAGGACGAGACAGAGGACTAGATGAACAAGGAGGAGGAGGAGGAGGAGGAGGAGGAAGTGGAGGAAGTGGAGGAAGTGGAAGTGCGGCGAGGGGAACGAGGAGGAAAGGGAGGAGGAGGAAGAAAGGGAGGAGGAGTAGGACAAGTGGAAAGGAAGAGTGCGCAGGCGAAGTACAATGTATGCAGAGGGGCGGCGAGCAGCGCCATAACGGAAGTGAACGTAGCGGTACTAAACGGATATGAGAGGGAGGGGAACAGGCAGAGTGCCGTTCACCTTTCCATCAGCGACAGAAAGAAGAAGAGAGCAAAGGTGGGAGAAAAGAGATATCACAGCCGTCCATTCCGCAAGCACTGCGACCATCCCGACTAAGGCCGAAGGGCCTGGCGGCGACGATGCGCTCCCACATTCCCTCAGACAGATAGAAAGAAAGGACGAACGGACGAGAGAGAAAAGGGGGGGGGGGCGGGGCGGGGAAGCATGAATGGGAGAAGAGAGCGCAGCGTCGTAATGCCCGCCAGCTCTGCGATCCGCGGCATTGCTACCTGTCTTCCCGAATAGAACATACCCCGTCATTATCGATGTATCTCAGACTGAATGTTGCCCCAAAAACAGATACTAAAATGACCGCACGCTCTAGTGGAAGGAAGCCGACTACCTAGCTCAGCACTGTTGAAGGACGAGACAACGGGAGCGAGGGAAAGGAGGAGCTAAACGACAAAAACAGAAAGATGGCCGAGCGGAGAATTTAAGTAAGACCGAAAAGCATCAGAATAAGCAAAAAAAAAAAAAAAAAGAGGAACGATCTTTCAATGATGACAGAAGCAAGCGAAAGGCGAGAGAAGAAAGAAGAGAGAGAAGCACGAGAGAACACGGACGAATAACGAAGGAGAGGAGAAAATGGAGAAAAGGGGCATACAACAAAGGAAAGGGGCATACAACAAAGGAAAACGGCGTATACCTTTCTCGGCCTTTTGGCTAAGATCAAGTGTAGTATCTGTTCTGATCAGTTTAGTATCTGATCCGTGGTCCATCGGACCACACCAAAAAAAAAAAAAAAAAAAAAAAAGGAAAACGGCGTTATCAGGCGAGAGAAGAAAAGGGAGGCGGAGGAAGGAAGAGAGAATAGTGATAAACAGAGGCCAAACTGTCCTTGGTGCGTGCTTCCATAGGAGACGAGAGAGGAAAAGGAAGATAGAACGAGGAGCCAAATAGATGGCAGCAAATAAAGGCTGAAGACAAAGAGGAGGTCGATAAGAAAGAAGAGAAAGGGCTAGCAAAGCGAAATGACAGAGGGGGAGAAGAAGCGGAGATAGAGGGAGACTGGGGGAGAGAGGGGGAGAGAGGGGAAGAGAGGGCGAGAGAAAGAGAACAGAAGAAAGCTTGGGGCGTTCGAAACGCAAAGAAGGCAGAAAAGAGAGAGAGAGAGAGAGAGGGAGCAGAAGAGAAGAAAAGAAAGTTGGGGAAACACTCCGCCCCTCGTTCCCAAAAAAACAAAGGAGAACAGCAGACACGAGGGGCAGAGAGAGAGAGACAGCGAGAGAGAGAGAGAGAGAGAGAGAGAGAGAGAGAGAGAGAGAGAGAGAGAAGACAGAAGAGGGGAAAAAAGGAAATCGACAGAAGAGGAGAAAAAAAGACTAAGGGGCGGCCAAGAGAGAGAGAGAGAGTGAAATATCACACACCATTTGGCGCGCTCCGCCACGCTGTAGATGGAAGGCTTGGGGATGTTGCAGGGCCCGAAGCTCGCCTGCTTGAACAATCCATACAGAAGAAGCTGAGTTTCTTGCGAGGCCTCGATCCCCGGACCCCTAACCATGGCTGCCACGTAAGTTGCAGCTGCGTCAAACAAGTCCTCTATCTCGCTCTTGCGTTTCCGGCTTCTCCTCGATAGATTACCACGTCCTTCTCCTTCCTCGTCGTCGTCATCATCATCATCTTCATCCTCTTCCTCATCCTCATCGTCATCATCGTCCAAGTCATCGTCCTCATCATCATCATCGTCATCATCGCCATCATCCTCCTCCACTTCCCCCTCAACACCTCTGCGAATCCGATCAAAGTCAACATGAACACCACCATCTCCATCTCCCTCTCCCTCTCCCTCTCCCTCTCCATCCGTCTTTAAGACCTTTGCAACAGATTGAGACGCTACAGGCGATAGCGATGGCGATGGCGATGGCGATGGCGATGCAGATGGAGATGGAGATGGCGTTCGATAGGACTTCTCTACTCCCATCTTCTCTCCTTCATTGTTCTCCTCTTCGAGAGCTTCTCCTTCGCCTACCAGTTCCTCCATCTCCATCTCCACCTCGCCCTCTTTCGGCCATTGAAGCTTGAGATTATTCTCGCGGAAACTGACTATCACCTGAATTACTCTCTGGACCATCCACGCGAAGATTATCCCAAAGACGATGTTCGGAACAATTACCTCAAGATCGGCATGCATAATCATCGTCAAGAGCGACTGCGGTGACGAGGACAGCCAGGAAGGGCTCCGACTTCCCGCCATAGCCACTCAACTGAGATCAGAATGGCAGAGTGATCTCTCTCTCTCTCTCTCTCTCTCTCTCTCTCTCTCTCTCTCTCTCTCTCTCTCTCTCTCTAAGTCCTTCCTCTCCCCAGAGTGATCTCTCTCTCTCTCTCTCTCTCTCTCTCTCTCTCTCTCTCTCTCTCTCTCTCTCTCTCTCTCTCTCTCTCTCT